GGTATGAATTTTCAAAAGGAATTAAATGTTTTAACAAAAAATATATAAACAAATATAAACATTTATTTAAATACCCAATATTTCAAAAAAACAATAACGGCAGTTATTATTCGAAAATTAAATTTGCCCGCAAATCAAACCATGTGAATATAATAGGCCACCATTGTAGAAACGCTTTTCATTTAGGTTGAACTGCATTTTAACGCCGTCAGCCGCCTGTCATCCAAGGTATTGTTTGGACATTTGTGTTTGGTGCAGTTTTGCTTATTGGGAAAATTAATAAAATTTATTTTAATTGAAGAGGGCAAAAATCGACTTTTAAACTTTGCGATTTTTGCCTTTGTCTGAAAAGTCGACTGTACGATTTTGTCAAACCTGTTAAGAATTGATTTATTAATAATAACGCCGTCAATATAGTCAGTATGGCTGGGTTCTCTGAGTGCAGTGGTTCTCATTTAGTCTCCATCCCACATCATTCGTAAACAATTCGGTTCTCATTTAGTCGTCATTCCACCTCATTCGTAAATTTTCTTCTTTATCGATCATTTGTCTTCTCCTCCCATTCGTTAGCAGGTGGAACGTTTTTCAATATTGTTTCTTTAGTCGTTGAAAAAGGCGTTAGAAAAGCATTCACTCGGCAAAATTAAAATTGTAATTTAATTGAATAAAGTTCAAATAGATTAAATACAAGGATTTAGCGAATCACTGAAACCACATTTTATTTAAAATTTTGATTTTGTTTAGATGGTGAATGGAGTGGATTTTTTAAAATTCTTTTTTCAATGCCTAGTTATATGCGTGGATTTCTTAAAATTATTCTTTCAAAGACTACCCTAGGTTAGGTTTGGATGTGCAGTCACTAATGTGGCTGCAGCACTCTGAGGCCGTCAGGTCCATTTTGATTATCCACGAGAAGAAAAAGAAGAGGGATAGAGAGAGATGAGAAGCCAGGTAGCAGGTGAAAAGTGCCAAGGTAGCACTTTCCCAACCACTTTAGGTTTCTAATTATGCTGTAGATTAGAGCAGGTTCAGTTGTTGAGAAGAAGCTAAGTTTCGGTAGAAAATGAGCACCCACTTGTCTGTAAGCCAGGACTGGGCAGCGACACAGGATATGCTCAATTGTCTCCGTCTCCTCCTCGCCAACGCAGAGTCTACAGTATACAGGTAGCATCATGGTCCCATTTACTGGTAGAGGCCCTGATATTTCGAAGACCAGTAATGATTACTGTCATTACACTTATTTCAGCTTTGTACATGTTCAACAGTGAGTGTATCCTTTTCGTAGACAGAGTAGATCTTGACACATTGCACCAAAGTTCATAGTGCCAAAGCTCATAGGCTCTTTCGTCGAAGAACGCCTCAAAGTTCCGATAAAGTTGACATGTGTGGTTTGAGTGAGCCATCAATTGCTAGATCTGTAGAATGAGATCCTCGTCTAGCTTATTCGTCTGCTCTTTCATGACCCATGATGTCACGGTGTATTGGTACCCAACACAGCCGATAGTTGTAAGTATGTTCTTCCAAAGCTGTTCTACACTTGAGGACGCCCTCAGGTTTGATGTAACAGAGCCGCTTGACTATCCACACAAATTGTCACCGGTTCAACGATCTCTGAATTCAGACTTTTTATCAATTCCTCTGCCTTCCAAATCGCAAAGATTTCAGCTTAGAAAACACTACAGTTGCTATCCAACTTGTAGGTTAACTCCGGGCCTAGCCTTTCACAGTAGACGCCAGCCCCTGTACTTTCTTCCATCATGGATCCGTCTGTATAGAAAGCCAGACCATCCAGAGGAGAGTTACTCCGGTTCCAGTCGTATCTACTAGGAAAAACGACATCTACATCGTCAAATCTCAGGACTGGTGATATATAGTCGCTTAGTTTTACGCGTTGATCCAATGTCATACCTGGTTTGTTCCAGATACAACCATTAACTTTTCAGGGACTATATATAGGAGTGAATTTTAATTTTTTTTATTTCATAGACGTAGATTTTTTGGCTTAAGTTGAGTTTATCACGATCACGAAAATATATGACATTCATGGGGGAAACCCATATTTATGAGCATAGGAATTTCGGAACTTCAGAGGTCCATATCTCGGGAATTATGGACTTCCCCCATGGAAGTCATATATTTTCCTGATCAGGGAGACGAGATCTACATGTGACAAATATTTCAGAAAAATCCGAGATGAGCCCCTAAACTCTACTTTTTCCGATTTTTTTTTTAAATTATTTTTTCAAAGACTATCCTAGGGCTGGATCTGGGGTGAATCCATCCACGGCAAAGCCAATCCCACGCATGAACCACCAAATGTTCCAATTGGCCGTACGGTCTCCGCAACCCAACCTCGCAGAACGCAAACAGAGGCACCAGACACACCAACATGTGACCTGAAAATTCGACTATGCGATTTCTTCAAAGATCAAAAGTCGAATTCGACTTTTCACACTCTTCAATACAAAAAGTCGATTAATCGATTAGTCGAAAGTCGATTTACTTATCCCTAATCATAATTTGCCTAAACCTCATTCGTAAACAACACGGTTTCCATTTAGTCTCTATCCCACCTCATTCGTAAACTTTCGGTTATACCATTTTGAGTTCATCTTTATCGGCCATTTTGTCTTCTCCTCCCATTCGTTAGCAGGTGGAACGTTTTTCAATTTTTTCTGTCGTCGTTTTTATTTTAGCTCCGTTCCAAACCCTAAAAGAATCTACTAATTTTACAAGTTTTGCAACTTTTTACTCGAAAACCGTTCCTGAACCCATAAAACTGGTAAAGCATTGAATCAAATTTAAGAGAGCACAAAACAAAATGGCTTTCTTTTTGTAAAGTTTTTGTTATGTTGATTTTGAAGTATTGCCATCTAATTTTGGCATATTTACTAGATTTGCGTTCCCGAACTTTTCAAATTATTTTGTACTCTGAGACTTGAAATGTTTCCCTTTTACTAGCTTTACTATTAAACAAGTGAAAAAGCGTTAAGTTCGGCCGGGCCGAACTTTGGATACCCTCCACCACAGGTATACTGACAGGTATTTGAAATGAAAAAGTGGACCGATATTTATAATTTTAAATAGAGATATTTGGTACCCAATATGAACCCACTGTACCAAATTTCAGCGAATTCGGTTGAAAATCGCGCTTAAGAACCGCAAAATACCGAAAATTTGGGGTGCCCTTATATGGGGGCTACCAGAAAAAGTGGGCCGATATTTATAATTTTTAGTAGAGATATTTGGTACGCAATATGAACCCAATGTACAAAATTGCAGCGAATTCGGTTGAAAAGCGTGCTCAAGAACCCCAAAATACCGAAATTGGGGGGTACCCTTATATGGGGGATATCCGAAAAAATTGACCTATATTTAAATTTTTTTGTGGAGAGATTTGGTACCTGCTAAGAACTCAAAATACTAAATTACAGCCAATTCGGTGAAAAATACGATAAAAACCCAAAAAATACTGAAAATTAGGAGGTACCGTTATATGGGGGCTACAAGAAAAAGTGGACCTATATTTATAATTTTTTGTGGATACATTTACTACAAATTCGCTTGAAAAACGCGCTCAAGAACCCCAAAATACCGAAAATTGGGGGGTACCCTTATATGGGAGCTATGCCTAAACGTGGACCGATATATCCCATCTTCGAACTTGACCTGCCTGCAGACAAAAGACAACGCTATGCTAAATTTCAGCACCCTATCTCAATTCCTTCAGAAAATAGCGTGATTACAACAGACGGACGGACATGGCTAGATCGTCTTAGAATTTTACCCTGATCAAGAATATATATACTTTATAGGGTCGGAAATGAATATTTCGATGAGTTACAAACGGAATGACAAAATTAATATACCCTCCATACTATGGTGGAGGGTATAAAAAGTACTGGAACAGACCATTTGTTGGCGAAGGTTTGCGTACGACGTCGCTTGAGTCTTGGCAGAACGACGATTAACAAGCGAATTTTATGAAGGCTGGAGTCTTGTTCTTTTGAATCTCTCTCTCTCTTTTATTTATTTTTTTTTTTTTTTGTTTTTCCATATATAGTTCCTTTGCTCCATACAGTTCCTTTGCTTCAAATAGTTCAAAAAAGGAACTGGATCAGAGAAAGGAATTATATTAATTAAAGAACTGGAACTAGTTCCGTTCGTTCCTTTCTCGGAATAGTTCCAATGAACTACCCAACTCTAGTTAAAACATTCAAAAGTTTGTGTGGTATTCTGCTTGTAACAACAAAAACAATTTGCAAAAATAATTTCGTAATTTATTTTAGTTCAAATTCTAATAATCAACTTTTTAATTAACAATATATAAAAAATTAATTTTTGGCCACAGAGCAAATGAAACATCCAGAGATTTATTCAAAACAAAATCAACGAATTATGACGTAGTCGCCGTCAGTTGCTGCTTGGCTAAATGGTTCAGAGAAGAGACGAGATCAAAATTTTCCATAATTGTTCAACAAAATAGAAGAAGAAAACAAAATTTATACAAGATATATATGATAACTGGGAATAGATTTTCAGCCATAAATCTAAGGAATATCTTGTGAGACCGCTTTTGTTGTCATTCATTTCGAAGGAATAAATTTCAGTTGAACTTTTGCACTCCGACTCAGACGTGCAAAAAAGAAATTATTTTTAGCACAGACCCGTAATCACAACAAACATACATCCCGCTGAACGACCGACCAACCGACTGGCTGACTGTCGGCCAGGTTAGGAGATAAACAACAGCAACAAAAAGGTAGCTATGCTAAGAAGAAATTTCGGGTTGGTTTCTCTTATGTTTGTTATGTGTCATTTTTTTGTTTGTCCGATAATACATTTGTTTGTTTTTGTTTTGTTTTTTCTAAAACTTATTTCGATTATTTATGACTATTACAAAGTGTATAACTTGTATAACTTGTTGCTTCTATTTTTATAGTTTATTTTTTTTCATTTGGTTCTTGAGAATTTTGTGTATATAGTGTAGTTGGTCCAAAATGCTACCCAGAGGCATTGAATTGGTAAAAATCTTACATACCAAACAAAATATATTGAATCTACGAACGGTATGCCATTTTCGCAAACAGCTATGGCCGGGTTACCGGGAGAATATTGACCTGAAAGCCGCCAACAAAAACGTATATTTCGCACAAAGACTGTACACGTCAAAAGATAAGGTATGTATAATTATGATCAAAGATCGATAATAATAAGGTATTAGACAATACTAATATGTTTGTTTTTTCAGTAGTAATTATATTGAAGGTTTTAATAATTGGTCCGGAAGAAAATTAGTTAATTAAACTTGTTTCCTGTAACATATCATTGAACATGGAACAGGCAGAGTAATTGAGGATTAGTGTTTCGTGATAGCAACTGTTAAGTGTGACTTTGAACAACTTCCTGCGTATAGGGGACCGGAAAAGTGCGCCGATAGTGATAATTTTTGCCAGGGGGATTTGCTACCCAATCAGAATTAAACAAAATATCAAATTACAGCGAATTCAATTAGAAAATTCATTAAGAAACCATAAAATTACGAAAATCGGACAGTACCATTATATGGAAGGATTCGGAAAGTTGGTCCGATATTGCTAATTGTTGCCATATGAAATTTGCTAACCAATCAGAATCGAAAATATAAAATTACAGCGAAATCGATTGGAGAAATCTTTCTAAACCTTAAAATAACGACAATCATCGGAATCATCATATAGCCACCATATAAGGAAAGTGAGACCGATATTGCTAATTTTTGCCAGGGAGATTTGCTAGCCAATTAGAATCACAGATATAAAATTATAGCAAAATTAATTTCGAAAATTCCTTACATAACCTGAAACAAACGAAACTTGAGCGGTATCGTTATATGGCGGAAAGATGGGCCGAAATTGTTCATTTTTGCCAGGAAGATTTACCAATTCGAATCAAAAATATCTAAATACAGCGAAATCGATGGGAAATCTATTTATAAACCTTAAAATAACGAAAATTGATCGGTATCCTTCTATGGTGGAAGATTTGCCAAGAATTAGAATCAAATATCAGAGACTTCTATTGAAAAATAAAATAATGAAGTCCTTAAAATAACGAAACTAGGGCGGCACCGTCACATGTGAGCCTATACGGAAATATGGACCACTATTAATGTTTGTAGGGCGATTTTGTAGACAATTTGAACCTAAAACATCCAAATTCATGCAATCCGGTTAGAAAACATGTCTAAAAACCTCTAAATACCGAAAATCGGAAGTGTGAGTTATATTGAGACTGTACCTAAGGATGGACCAGTATTATTCTTGGTTGGACCAGTTAAGGCCTGAATTTTTTTTTAAGAATTTTTTTAAAGGACCTGCCAAATGCCTCGATTTTTTAAAGAATACTTTTCTGATTGTTTAAAAATATATTTTTTCAAGGATCAGTTTATAAAGAACATTTTTCAAGGCTCGGATTTTTTAAGGTCCAATCAAGGCGTGTATTTTTTAAAGAATAGTTTTTTAATACCCGGATTATTAAGGACATTTTTTTAAGGATTTTTTAAGGACCAATCAAGGCGTGGATTTTTTACAGAATATTTTTTTAAGACACGGATTTTTTAAGTAGCAATCAAGGCGTGTTTTTTTAACTGAATATTTTTTAAGACCCCTTTTTTCAGGAACATTTTTCAAAGCCCGGATTTTTTAAAGAATATTTTTTAAGACTAGGATTTTTAAGGATCAAGCAAGGCGGGGATTTTTTAAAGAAAAATTTTTGGATACCCACATTTTTAAGGACCAATACAGGCTCGATTTTTAAAGAATATTTTTTTTAGACCCTTTTTTTCAGGAACATTTTTTAAGGCCCAGATTTTTTAAAGAATATTTTTTAAGACCCGGATTTTTAACCACCAATTAAGGCGTGGATTTTTTACAAGGAAAGGCATATATTTTTTAAGACGATTTATAAAGGGCCAGTCAAGGGTTGAACTTTTTTGAAGAATATTTTTCCTTGGGCAGTAAATTCGTAAATTTTTAAAGAATATTTTTCAAGGCCTAGAACTTTTTATTGACAAATTTTTATGTGTCAGTCGAGGCGTGTTTTTTTGAAGAATATTTTATCAAGGCCTGAATTTTTTAAAAGAATATTAATTTTTTTTTTTTGCAAGGTCTAGTCAATCCTCGATTATTTTAAAACATTTTTTTTTCAAAGCCTAAAAATTTGTAAAGCATTTTTTCTAGGCTAGTCAAGGACAGGATTTTTTAGAAGAATATTTTTTCAAGGACTAGTCTAGGACCGGATTTAAAAAAAAATGTTTTTCAAGGTCGAGTCAATATTTTTCAAGCCATGAATTTTTATGAAGAATATTTTTTAAAAGATATTTTAAGGACCAGATAAGACCTGCAATTATTTAAAGTATATTTTAGGACATTTTTAGTCATGGATTTTGCTTTAAAAAGTCGAGGCCTGGATTTTTAAAGAATATTTTACCAAAATGTTTTATTTTATTTTTTTTTTTTCTTTAATTTTTTTTTTAAACTCAAATCCCTATTTTTTTTCTTTCCTCAGGTTATTGCATCTCCCCCATCTACCACACAAACAACATCTGCAGCGGCCGCCGCAGCACCACAAACGACAAAAACCAAAACCACCACAAAAACAGCCACAGAACCCAAAACGGCAAAAGAAAAATCCAGCACCTCAGCGGAAACAACTAAAAAGAATGGCAAAACATCGACACCACCACAAACCAAAAAATATGAAATCGAAACATCCAAAGGGATATTGTCCATTACAACAACCATAGAAGATTCCAAAATAAATGATATTGTATTTGAAAAATCAAAAGTGGCAAGTAGTGACACGACCACCACCAAAGAGACTGTAAAATCATCAGCACCACCTACGGCTGATGATATTATGAATAAGGCCGCCAAGGGAGCGGCCAATGTGACAGAGGCTAAAATAGATGCGGCTATATTGGATGCTGCCTCGAAGAAAAAATTGGCAACGGAGGCCGCCACCACTGGTGGTAAAGTATTAAGCATTGATATGACAAATGCGGCAACAACAGCAGCAGCATCAGCGACAAGTACAGCAGCAGCGGCGGCATCTGTGACTGCGGCGACTACTCCTACTACTCCATTACCTGAAATCAAACCTAAACCGGTAAGTTTTCCTTTCACAACTCTATAGTTTATAAATCAGAGAGTTGCAGTCTCTTCGCCTCTCTGAGAGTTCATTGCATTCCCAATTTTTTTTTTTTAATTTCTAATTTCCCGGAATTTTTTGATTTATAGAAACGAGCTAAAATGGATTACAATCGTTCCTCCTTGGAACGTAATTTCATTACCCCGGCTCGGGCCATGAGTGATTTTTTGCTAAAGGCCTCCGATTTGGAGACATTGCCGAAAATCAAACGACGTTCACCCTATGAACAAGAACCACCAATAACGGTATTTTGGCGCAAAGATGTTGAGGCCAAGGCCATTAATATTTGGGGTACCAAGGAGAATCTCATCAAGGAGTGCCTAAAGCGGGAAGTGGAACGTAAAAAACATCAACAAAGTAAGGCTCCAAAAATATTCCATAATGAAATTAATTTTCCTAATAAAAAATTATTCCCCTTCATGCAGATATTTTTACGGTGAAAAGAAGGCTGCGTGACTATAGACGGGAAATTGGTTCCCGAACGGCTGTGTATGATGATGAACCCGGTTTGAAGGGCAAATCGGGAAAAGTTGTGTTAATTGCCATTGGCATGTAGGTTGAAATGGGATTTGCTTTCCAATTTTTTAATTATTTTTTCCCTCTTCCAGCAATGGTTTAAATTTCCTTTTCAAAGTGGGTGGCTGGCTTTATTCCGGTTCGCATAGTATGTTCGCCGAAGCCATACACTCTTTGGCCGATACCATTAATCAATTGATTTTGGCCTATGGCATACACAAGTCAACACAAATGGCCGATTCCGATCATCCATATGGTTATGCCAATATGAAATATGTTTCATCGCTAATATCTGGAGTGGGAATATTTTGTGTTGGCACTGGGCTATCATTCTATCATGGTATAACGGGTTTAATGAACCCTGAACCAATGGAAGATTTCTTTTGGGCATTTTTCATATTGGGTGGTTCGTTGGTGTCAGAGGGTGCCACCCTTTTGGTGGCCATGAATGAGGTGCGACGTTCGGCTAAACTAAAGGGGATATCTTTCAAGGAATATGGTGAGAAAAAAATGTATTTCAAAATTGTTTGATTTAATGACAAAAATAATTACAGTTCTGACCGGCAAGGACCCCTGTGTAAATGTGGTATTAACCGAAGATGCTGCTGCCGTGGCCAGTGTGGCTGTGGCAGCTGGTTGCATGGGCCTGTCCACCATAACGGGCTCACCCATTTATGATGCTGTGGGTTCGCTTTTGGTGGGCAGTATTTTGGGGGCAGTGGCCTCATTTATTATCTACACCAATGTGGCCGCCTTGGTGGGCAAGTAAGTAACTAAAATTTTCAAGCCCTGAATTTTTTAATTTTTTTTAAGGACCAGTTAAGGCGTGGAATTTTTAAAGAATATTTTTTGCAAGGCCTAATTTTTTTAAATGAAATTTTTCCAGGACTAGTCAAAGCCCGGACTTTATAAACAATTTTTTTCAAGGCCTAGAACTTTTTATTGAATATTTTTCAAGGGTCAGTCAAGGCATAGATTTTTAAAGAATATTTTTTCAAGGTCTGAATTTAAAAAAATATTTTTCAAGATCTGAATTATTTTAAATAATATAGTCACAAGGCCTGTATTTTTTAAAGGAATATTTTTCAAGGACTAGTCATTGTTTTCAAGGTCTGGTCAATTCGTGTATTTTTTTAAGAATATTTTTCAAAGTCCTGTATTTTTTATAGAATTTTTTTCAAAGTCCTGTATTTTTTATTGAATTTTTTAAAGACCTGGATTTTTTTTTAGAATATTTTTTTAATAGAATATTTTTTCAAGACGTGATTTTTTAAAGATATTTTTAAAGGCCTAGATTTTTTTACAAAATATTTTTTAAGTACAAGTTACAGGTCTGCATTTTTCCAAGGACAAAAAAAATGTCTTTAATAATTATTTTTTTAATTAAATTTAATAAACATTATTATAATAAATTCCCTTTTAGATCCATACCCCATGAACATTTGGAACGCATTAACAGTGAATTGGAAAGCGATGTGATGATTAGAGCCATCCATGATGTCAAGGGTATTGATATGGGTAATTCATTGGTAAGGTATAAGGCTGAAATGGATTTTGATGGTCGGGAATTGACACGGTCATATTTGGATAAACAAGATCTCAATGAATTGCTTAAGGTATTAAGAAAATAAAATTTTATTTTATTTAATGAAGTATTTGATCATATGAAAATATATTGCAGGTTGTAAAATCATTCCAATCAACGGAAGAATTGGAACAATTCTTATTAAATCATGGCGAAAATATTGTCGATTTAATGGGCGGTGAAATCGATCGCATTGAAATGAAGCTAAGGGTATGATCAAAATTACTCCCATTATTATTTAAAAAATTAATTTGTTTTTTTTTTTCTTTTACAGAAAAAATTCCCCGAAATCCGTCACTGTGATTTGGAAATACTTTAAGCTATTTATTTATTTTGTAATTATATTACGCGGTCTATGCTTACATATTTATGTAACAAACCTACCTACCTAGCATTACTTATCTACCATAATGGCTGTAAGCTTTTTGAGGTTCGTCACCGATTGTATCCATAACTCTTGATTTGTGCTCCGAGAAATAAAAAACTGTGGAACAGTTATTTAAATTGGATTGTTTTTTGCTAGTTTTCAAAAAAATTTCAAAAATTATTCTAAAATTTAAATTAGCTTACATTTAAAAAAAAGTTACACATCGTGACATCTATGTAAGTTAATTGCAAAAAAATCTTTGTAGAAAATATATATATTTATTATAAATTAGATGTGTTTATTTTTCCATTTGTATATCTAAAAGCTTGAAAAGTTTCATGTTTGTATTAAAAGAAAAGAGGAAAATAATTTAATAATAAAAAACAAAAGATCTAAGAAGGCTACAGTGGAGTTTTAATTGCATTTTTGGTATAAAGGTTACAAAAAAGGTACTTACCGGATTTTTGAATTATATTTATTTGGGTTTTGTGTATTTTAGTTTGAAATATAATTTATAATAATCCAAAACATGCCCCCGTATTATACAAATTTCTGCATTTATACCATCGACTCCATCCACTCGATTTTGTTATCGTTTTTTTTTATTACCGTTAAATTCTTCAAAAGTCCATATTCTCAATTAACAACAAGTTCAAAATTTCTATTTTTTTCAAATTTCTAATTAAATTACACAGAATTTATTATTCGCTAAAAATTAAAAATATTGAACGTCGTACCTTTTTTTCTAAATATTCACTTCGCTTTCTTTTTTCTTGCCCCGCCACCTCCACCACGACTACTTTGTGGCAAATCACCCGTTTTCTGCATCCTTCCCACTTGCATATCCTTTAGCTTGGAATGCAATTTCTTTTTCGCCTTTTCCAATTCTTCTTCCTGGCGGACCGTTTTCACCGGCTTCGGGTGTAGAAATTGTTTACGTTCCGTCTTTTTGGCAGCCTCACCGCAACCATGCACCTCGGGTAGGCCATGTTTAAAACAATATCTTTTCTGGCAATGATCACAATTCTGACCCATTAGACTTGTTTTCGCCTTGCAGCGGGCATAATCACATAAATTGTCGACATCCTTGACAGCGGTAAGGACATCATCTAATTTCATCTCTACAACTTTACTGGGTATTTTTTCTAACAGCTCCAAGGTGTTATTGGTACCATAATCGGGTTTTTTGCCAGGTTTTGCGGGTGGAAATAATGGTGGCTCTGTGGGGGATTGCAATGAATTGGTGGCAGTTGTTTCGCTTTGTTGTTGTACATCTTCGGATTTGGGTTTATTTTCTTAAGAAAAAGCAAACAGACATTATTTTATATTTTTGTTTATTTAAATTTAGCAAAATTTACCAGACATTTCCAAATTGAGCCTTTCTAGGGTTTGTTGTTCTGGGACAAATCAATTCAATTTGATGATTCTTTGAAATGAACTATAACAACTATTTCCAACTAGTTCATTTTTGGTGAATGATTCACTGCGTTGAACAAATTCTTGATATGCCAAAGTAGTTCAAATCAACGATTCTGTGAAATGATCTATAGGGACTATTTCCAACTAGTTCATTTTAATCAAGGAACCACTGCATTGGACAATGAAAGGGATGGACATATTTAAATATTAGATATATTGAGAAATAACAGCTTTAACAGAATTAACAGTTTTCCGATTAAAAAGTTGTTTTGGATTAAAATACCCCAAGTAGCCAAATATTTTGTTTACCTTTTCACACGAGTAAGTAAAATTTTAAAGCAATTTGTCACCACGGGTGAAATCATCTGGTCTTTCGGACGACCTGTTTTATTATTGGACCATGATTGAGACCAATCGATAACGGCAATTTTGGTTGAAAATCTCCCAGACGGACAATTTTTTTTACATTAAGTCAAAATTGAAAGCATTTTGAAAATTCGGGTGAAATTATCTGGCCTTATCAGACGACCTTATTATTGGATCTGATTGGGACCAAGGTCCATTAAACATGTCATTATCAGCAATTAAGTTGAAAATCTCCCTGACGGACAATTTATTTTTTTCATTAAGTCAAAATTGAAAGCATTTTGACAGCTCGAATGAAATTATCTGTCCTTATCAGACGACCTTATTATTGGACCATAATTTGGCCTTGCCCTGAACCTGAAATAATATTCGATTAATTGATTTTTTTTTTCCATTTTCCCTTTTAGAATTTGGCCTTGCCCTGAGTCTGAAATAATATTCGATTAATTGAATTTTTTTTCGATTTTCCCTTTTAGAAATTTTTTCCACTTGTTGAATGTGGTAACAAGTCATATGTTGCATTCATAATGCCTACAAGAAATACTGTAGGGTATCCTCCAAGGTTTGCAACAGCTGATTTTTGCCAATGACAAACTAAACAATAACAAATTCCCCCATCTGTTATCAGTCGAATCCGGAGAACCTCAACACAATGATACTGAAAAGGCTAAAATATCCTCTTTATTTCCTTCTCAGGAATACACTAATACCAACAAAGCGTTATCAAAGTACGGTGGAATATATCCAGGGACAGGAACCGGAACCCAAAATACGTGAATATTTCTATTACATAGATCATGAGGGAATGGTAAGTTAATTAATTAAACATTAAACAAATTTTGAGATACGCATTAAATAACTTCGTTTTCCCCAGCTCTTTTTAGACGATGCCAAAATGAAAAATTTCACATCCTGTTTCAAGGAGAAAAAATTTCTGAAATTCTTTTTCGATCGTGTTAAATTTAACGATACCAAACGTTATCGTGATGAGTTTCCCTATCTCTCACCCTGTGGCAGGGAACGAAATTTCATCAGATGTGATGATACTCCCATTGTTTTTACTCATGTTATGGAAGATAATGAGCAGCAGGGTCAAGATAAATTGTTGTATAATCATGCTGGAGATGTTTTAAAAATTGATTTTGAACCGGAGAAAATCTATATGAATCCCGATACGGGTAGGGTATATCATCCATATCCCTTGGCCAAGGTGGGATCTATTGGTTTAATACGCTCAAAACTATCCATTGAATTAAGTCGATTTTTTGAATTCGAGAAGGGCGAACAGCATGGGCCAACACACATTTGGTGGAAGGATAAAAAACTTTTATTACAAAATAATTGGTTTTCTAATACACAGCGTTATGGTGTAAACTCTAACAGGGAAATACAATAATAATTATAATAGCCTAATTTTGACATTTATAACGTCAGTTTATATAAGTCAGATACATTATTTGTTTTTGTTTTTTTTAATACATTTTTTTTGTATAAATTTGTAAATAAAAGAAATTTTGTATATATGTATAGGTAATATTCTCTTAATGAAATTATGTTGTAGTCAGTGAAATATATTTTTTTATACTAGTCCATGCTTAGGGGAACATATTCCCCCTCCTTCACCCATGACAGTCCTTTTGCACTTGATGATGCCGCACTTGCAGTGGTATTTGTCAATATGGGTTCCTTGCCCTCACGTATACGCTGCCGAATGGGTCCATGTATATCATCGCTGAATTGTTCAAATGCTATATAATGTGGATCATCTGTGGGTGGTTCATCATAAAGATGTTGCTTATTGTTGTCAATGCACTCTTTTACTTTGGCTATAAATCCTGCACGATTTTGCAGTAATAATTCTGCAGCTTCGGTATTTGGCCATTTATTATTAGGGGTAGTTGTTGTTGTTGGCGTTCGCAAACACTCAAGGGGATCAATGAAAATTGCTTGTACGTATTTTAAAAGCTGCCAAATGTGATCTTCGCCACAGCGCCATGTAGGGAAGGCATGGGATAGATCCAGAGTACCGGTAAAAGGGCATATCAGCGGGTGGTACATTTCATTTTGGAATATAACTGTCTAAAATTAGAGACATCAAAATTAGAGAGAATATCTCCAATAACTATGGATGATACCTACCGGTACTGTCTTATCTTCGGGAAACTTATCGGGAAGTGATATGTTAAAACGAAATATACCCTCCTCATACATGCCTTGTCTAACAAATATTACACCATACCACACTGCCAACAAAGAAAGGAAAATCTTATAAGAACTTTTTTTACCCCCAAAAATTAACATGAAATCCAAAACTTACACAAAGAATTGGCAAATGAAGGTATGACATAGATGCCGCCCACTTTTTCCGATGCCACCATTTTACTGTAAAAAAATTAATTAAAGCCAAAGAATATTTGTGGTAAAGTTTTTACTTACTATTCTGCTAAGATTTTGTACTCTTGTTGTATTGTTGCCTGGACATCTTCGGGCACTGGATCCTGTGACATGTCTTCTTGGAATTGATATAGAAATTTCGAATAAAACTTAAATTATTGTAATATTGTGCATTTATTATAACATTTAATGAAAATAAGCAACAAATTCCATGGAAATGTCAATCAAAATAAATAAAAGCGAACAGCTGATTGCTTTACGGATTGTATTTGCGTACGATTAGTAGAAGTCGTATCGTATAGGAATTACTCTACTTCAGTTTGACATTACTGACATTACTTATTAAATACATAAGAAATCATTATGTATATCCTCAAAAGTAAACATATATTATATTTTGATCCCTTCTACATGTCCCAAAGACCGTGTTAATAACAAAATGTAATGTAGGCTATAAAAAACGCCAAATTGACATCACAAAGCTGTTTGTATGTGCGTTACGTTTCACAAATGACATCACCGTGTACCATACGTCTACGTTACGTCGCCCAACTAATCGCCACAATAACCATAATTAATCATCTATCAAACAAAAATAATAACAATGGACAGAAATAAATCCAATTAGAATAAGAAAACGAGAGGAACGTTTTCTTTTCATATCAGTCATCGAAATCATCGAATCTCAGGAAATTCCAAATGTGTAAATAGGGAAAGAAACCAAAATTATTTAATATTTTTAAATAAATTCCAAAATTACTTGTACCTGTAACCTTCACAAATAGTTTTTTGGCCTTAAATAGCTTTAGAGGTAAGCAAAAATAGCAACAACAACAACACCAAAATATTTACCAAAAACAGGTTTCAATAATAACGACATATCTATTTTGTAGAGTGTGACACACATAGAGAGCAGTGTTTTCCAAGAACTGAGTAATTTACCCGCAACAAATAAGTGTCAAATTGTTGGCTAACCATCATGGTGGCCACATCAATTATTGCAGAATTGTGCATTTATATTTTAACCTGGAATGTGGGTACCAATTATCCCGAAGATGTCAATTTAACGGAGATGCTTGCCCTGAACGGCACCTCTATGTGCCCAGGGGAAAATAAACGTCCCGATCTCTATGTGTTGGGCTTCCAGGAGGTCAATGTTAAGCCTAAAAATCAATTTCTGAATATATTCCAAGATAATCAATGGACTCTGAAGGTACGAGAATTTCTCTCCGATCAGGATTATGTCAAAATTGAAACGGCCCAGCTGCAGGGTATATTGATAAATGTGTGGTCATTGGGAAAACACATAAGCAATATCAACAACATTGAAACGGAAACCACCAAGGTGGGTCTGGGTGGCCTCTGGGGTAATAAAGGTGCTGCCAGTGTACGCATGAGCCTTTATGGTAGTGGTGTCACCTTTGTGGTGGCCCATTTGGCGGCCCACGATGAGCACCTAAAGGAACGTGTCATCGATTACAATCAAATCTTGGATAATCACCATTACAAAGTGCGTAACTATCGTACCATCTTTGATCATGATTTTGTCTTTTGGTTTGGTGACCTGAATTTCCGTCTAAACGGCCACGATACACCCGAAGAGGTAAAGGCAGAAATTGAATTGGGCCATCTGGATGATCTCTTTACCCGTGATCAATTGCAAATGGTCCGCGAGGCGGGTAATGCATTTTCATTAATGACTGAACAGAAACCAACATTCCGACCCACCTTCAAATACACCGAAGGTACATCTGAATATGATTTGAAACGTCGTCCGGCATGGTGTGATCGTATTCTATATCGTGTGGAGGAAAATAAATATCCTGATATAAAATTGGAATTACAACAGCTGTCGTATAAATCACATCCACAATATACGCTGTCCGATCATAAACCAGTTACGGCAGAGTTTCTGCTTTCGATAAAGGCGGAGCATCAGACATCCGAGGATATTTATGAAATGACACATGGCGGTAGTGGCGGCAGTTCGGAAACACCATTATCAAGTGTAATTATAATTTGCATATCTTTATATGTATTGATATTTTAATCAATTCTGTGTAGCTATTTAGTTATCTTTATTATTTTTATTTTCTTTTTTTATTTTTCTTTATTTCCATTTTGGTTTGTGGCTTTTGTTTTGTTGTCGTACTTGTTCTTTTTCTGCTTTTCCCCCATTTTACCCCCGTAATATAATAATTTTGTTACTAAATTGTATAACAATCATTTATCCGGACTTACTAACATCCGGGTTGTTTAGTAGACATCCATTTGACCCATCGAATTTATTTTGATTTTCCTTTGCTCCCCTATCGTGTTAGTGTACCTGAAATAGATCTACCACAAACTAACCTTTTTTTCTCTATTATTTTTTTTATAAACAATATAAAATTTAACTATGAAGAAGGTAGCTCATGATACAATATGTTCAACTATATGAAGAATAATTTTTTTTAAATTGATTTTTTATTTAAAGAAGGCCTCTTCTATATAAATTGTAGATGTTTTCTATCTATACAAAAATTATTCTCTCTATAAAAGATATATTGTACATATAAAAGAGCTCTCTATGTGTAGAATAGGTCATCTATACAGAGAAGGGATTTAGCTATAGCTCCCATACATATTTTTTGTCCGATTGTGTCCTGAAGACCCGAACGTCTGTACGACTGGAATGAAATTTTGCATAACACCTTCAAATTGAGTTTAAAAGCATGTGTGTGAAGTTTGCTAGAAATCGGTTCAGGTTTAGATATAGCTTCCATATATAATTTCGTCCGATTTGATGTGAAGTGTGCCCCAAAGAGGCTACGTTTGTCCGATAGACATGAAATTTAGCATAGGCTAACCTCTTGATACCAGAAGGAAGTGTGTTGAATATGGTCCAAATCGGTGCAAATTTTGAGGGTAGAATTGTGTGTGTCACATTTGCTTGAAGTCGGTTCAAATTTAAATATAGCACCCTTATAAAATTTCGTCCGATTTCAGGTAAATGATGCCTTAAAGACCTGTACATTTGTCCGATTGACACGAAATGCACCACAGCGTAATAAATTCAGTCTAGAATTGTATGTGTCAAATTTCCTTTTAATCGGTTCCGATTTAGATATAGCTCCCACATATATTTTTTGTCGGATTTCAGGGAAATGGTGCCCCAAAGACCCGCTCGTTTGTCCGATCGTTACGAAATTTAGCATAGCGTAAAGAATTGAGACCAGAATTGTGTTTGCAAATTTTCCTTTAAATCGGTTAAATCCTTTAAATTTGTGCACCAAAGTCCCCAAGTTTGCCTGATTGGCACGAAATTTTGCAAAGCGTAATGAATTGAGTGACGAGTTTTATTCAAATATGTTCAGATTTAGATATAGCTGCTATATGTATTACCCTCCGATTTCATGTAAATGAGGCACAAACGACTTATCGTCTGTCCGATTATCACCAAATTCAGTTTAGGTTATCATCTTATTACTAGTATGAATTGTGGCGAGTTTGATTTAAATCGATTCAAATGTAGATGTAGCTCCCATAGAAATTTTCGCCCGATTTCATGTTAACGATCCCCCAAGGTCCCAAAGTTTGTCCGATTGTCACGAAATTCGGCACAAACGATCGTCTTGTTAATAGAATAAAGTTTGTTAAGTTTCATACGAATCGGTTCAGATGGGTCCACCGAAGACCCCAAGTTTGTCCGATTGTCACCATATTCGGTACAGACTATTGTCTTGTTATTAGAATGAAGTGTGTTAAGTTTCATTCGAATCGATTCAGGTTTATGAAATAAATTGAAATTGAAATATAGCGCCCATATAAAATTTCCCTCCTATGCCATGTTAATGGTCCGACCAAAGACCCCAAGTTGTTCGATTGTCGCCAAATTCGGCACATACTACCGTCATGTTACTAGAATGAAGTGTGTTAAGTTTCATTCGAATCGGTAAAGATTTAAATATAGCTCCCATATAAATTTCCCGCCGATTTCATGTTAATGATCCGCCAAAATTCAAAGTTTGTCCGATTGGCACCACATTCGGCACACACTATCTTCGTGTTACTAGAATGAAGTGTGTGTATTTTCATTCGAATCGATTCAGATTTATATATAGCTCCCATAAAAATTTCCCGCCGATTTTATGTATATGGTCCACCATAGACCCCAAGTTTGTCCGATTCTCACCAAACTCGGCACAAACTACCGTATTGCGACTAAAATGAAGTGTGTTAAGTTTCTTTTTAATCGGTTAAGATTTAAATATAGCTCCCATTTGAAGTTTTCTCCAGATTTCAGGATAATGGCCCACCAAAGACCTAAAGTTGGTCCGATTTTTTAAAAATATTTGTTAGGTTCTCACATTTTTTGAAACATTTCTTCAAAGCTCTACATAAGGCGTGCATTTTTTTAAAAATATATTTTCATTAGAAAATATCTCCAAACTAGAGAGGGACATTTAGCTACAGATCAGATCCTTTATATACCGAAAGAATATTCCCTCCATAAAACGGGAAATTCTATTTATAGAGAATTTCTTATGCTTTATAAATTCTTCTTCTACTTTCATGCAGCTATTCATTATTATTGAAAAGGTAATTTATTCCTTAAACGAGCATCTTCTTCAAAAAATATATCTCGAATATTTTCAAAAAATACAAATTATGATTCTCAACAAAACAAAAGCCAGTTTTTCAAAATAAAAACCAATACCAAAATTATTAGCATTCTCTTGATGATCCATTTTCTTCCTCTTTTTTGTTTTCAGTGGATTGAATAGATATAAAACTGGAATAAAATATGTCGATTTTATGGATTTAGAATCTGCAGAAACCTTAACTACCTACTCTTTTTTTAACATTTCCACAATACTACTTAAACTTCTCGCAAAGAAAGCAAAACAACAGCACCAAAAATTATGCATGCCGTTTAAGGAATAAAGCCCAGTATATATCCCACATATATATATAACAATATTAATATTATTATTATTATATTTTCAATACAATTATTTAAAATTCTAATACATTTTCTATACTCATTAACCTTTTTATTTTAATTTTTGTTTACTAATATCTAAAACCCTTTCATTTATTTGTTTTATTTTTGTTTTGTTTGCTTCCCTTGTCCCTAACCTCAATAACTAACACACAAGTGCTGTGCTATTGATTATTGTTTCATATTTTCAAGATGTTTTACTTAAAAATTTAATTTCTTTAATTTCAAAATTAAATCGAATAATATATCACTCAATCTAATAATGTAATTTAAAATCTCTCAAAGAAATGAAAACTAAAAAAAATCCCCTATCATATCTTCTGTCAGCCGTTTTACATCAAAACTCATGTCATTAATTGTGATCTAAGCAATATATTTTTTTAAAAATTATATAAATGTATATGTACATATATATATAATACTATGTAGTTAACTAATTGAATATATATATTGTTATAATTTCGAATAAATATATACAAAATACAATGAAATGAATACTTGTGAATGGATTTTCTTTAAAAAAAATGAAATAATTTTATAGTCTGAATACCCGCCCCTTAATACCCAACTTGTACTCTGGATTTAGGTATAACGACCTGAATTATTTGCCTCTTATAACCAATATGATTATGATTTGGTCTATTAATGTGGTCAACACATCTGTTAAAAAACTGTTTTAAATTATTGATTATTCCAATTGGAATATGAAGAAATGAGATCTCTCTCTGGCCTAAACATCTGTTAAAAACAGTTTTAAATTATTGATTAGTCCAATTGGAGTATGAAATGAAATTTCCCAACACTCTCACACACACAAAAAGTACCTTCAAATTTCTTCACCCAAAAAATCCCCCTATTTATCTACAATCTACTATACTTCACCTTAGGGCCCAGATTGCGGTCATTTTTTGTGTGTGACCAACATTTTCTTTCAAAAATATTAATTGCTATTACATAAATAAAGCAAACAAACAAACGAACGAACACAACAATTAATAGAAAATATGATAAAAAATTCTAGATAATGTTTTTCTGGTATTCAGCAAAATAATAATTCAGTAGCAGCAACAGAGACCAATGCTATATTAATTTTGTGTGTGTGTTTTTTGTTTTTGTTAATTTCAGTTTCACTGAAAAGCATTCCCTTTAATGGGTGTTACATTTAATGACCTTAGACGTCAGCCGGAACAATCTGTATTGACGTAATAAAACTAGGAGATGAATGAATTTGACCTTAAAATGGTATAATTTTCAAAATGATGAGAGGATTCTGATTTAGGGTCTCATATAATGGCGCGGATTTTTAAAAAAATATATTTTTTTGTGAATTTTAATTTTTACGAATTTCTTAAATACAAAATTTAAACTAGTTTAAACTAGAATTTCTAATTTTAAATGATTCATATATGTATTCTGACCCTCAATATTACTTAGTATTTACAATTTTTTCCCGTTCTAAACATTTTTGTTTTTCAATTAGTAATATAATTAATGTAATTATATCAAGACAAAACAAAACAAAAAATGCCTTAAAATTATTATTGAGTGAAATAATTACCTTACCTTATTGGTCAATGACTACATGAATTTATTTATATTTATATCGTGATAATAACGTGTCTTTTTAATATATCTGGTACTTTTTTCGCCAGTTGTTGTGTTGTTGCTGTTATACACTAAAAGAAAATCACTGATATATTTTTTTGACAGTATATAAATTATGATAAGATCAGTGGGCAAGGTTAACGTCATAGCGGCGAAGCAAAATAAACTTCGCATTTAGAGTATAATTTTAAAATAATTTCAAATGAAACATTAATTTGGTATTGCATGGTCCTTGGTACTGCCTACGTTGATAATATGAAATAAACAAAAAGTGACACCAAAACATTTTTGTTAGAAATGAATCATTCTTCAATATATTATTTCCAAAAACAAAGTTCAATACTATTCTGCAGAAATGTCATCATTACTTTTTAATATTACAGAACTAGTATAAAAAGAAAATTTTAATATAATTTTGGTTAAGATGACCCCGGATGACCTTATTTATAGGCCTTGATTGTTTTGACTGTACGGTTTATTAGAAATTGTACGGAATCAGCTGATTTCTTACAAATTCTTCCCAAGGCCTATTAATAAGGTTATCCAGTGAGACCAGAAGGATATCAGCTGATTGTCAAGTTTGCTGTCAACATCAATTATTGTGAATTGACTTCCAATATGAAAACGTAAAGCCAAAATGTTGACATTAGACTTGAGACAGCTGACTTTCTCTTGCTAGTTTAGATGAATTAATAAAGTCACACAGCACGTGAAAGTTATTTTCAAGGACCATCAAGACCAGACATTTTTGGAGAAATTTATCCGAGCGTGGTTTTTTGTAAAAACATTTTTTAAGGGTCTCACATAAGGCGTGGATATTATTAAAAATATTTTGTTTGGGTCTCTCAGATAAGGCTTGGATAATTTGTTACGTTCTCACATAACTGAATTGTGTCTACAATATCTAAATAATAATAAAATCATTTTTAAAGGGACTAGAAGGCGGCCAATTTTTAATATTTTTCCAGTGGCTTATAGAAGGCTTGGATTTTTTAAAAATATAGGCGTGGATTATTTTTTAGGGTCTCACATAAGGCGTGGATTATTTTTTAGGGTCTCACATAAGGCGTGGATTATTTTTTAGGGTCTCACATAAGGCGTGGATTATTTTTTAGGGTCTCACATAAGGCGTGGATTATTTTTTAGGGTCTCACATTAGGCGTGGATTATTTTTTAGGGTCTCACATAAGGCGTGGAATATTTTTTAGGGTCTCACATAAGCCGTGGATTATTTTTTAGGGTCTCACATAAGGCGTGGATTATTTTTTAGGGTCTCACATAAGGCGTAGATTATTTTTTAGGGTCTCACATAAAGCGTGGATTATTTTTTAGGGTCTCACATAAGGCGTGGATTATTTTTTAGGGTCTCACATATGGATTAATGGGCAGTGTACGGAATGATGTGATTTCTTCCAAATTATTACAGGTGTTTTTCGATTGCTATCTGGGTGATCTTATTAATACACCTCCATTAAAAAGTAAAATAGTCAACACTTTTCACATTAGACTTGAGAAAAAAACAGCTGACTTTTGCTTGTTGGGTGACTATTAATGGATGTGTCATCCAGAGATATCAGTTGATTCTCAAGTTTGGTGTCAAAATCCATTGTTGGGAATCGACTTCCATTATAAAAACGTAAACAAAGTCTAGCTGGTTGTACTTATTAATACATTTTAATGTCATCCATTACAACGATTAATATTTCTGATATTATTTTGCTCATCGTCTTGTAAACACACAAAATTTCTTACTGTGTAGCTTGTGGGATTCCTATACGAAACGTTGATAGCATCCGTAATGTTAATTTGTTGTTGTTCTATATGAAAAATGATATCATCTTTCAACACAAAGTTGATGTTCAAAAAAAAAAAAAAAAAAATAACCAAAATAAATAAAACAATTGTTTGTTATTTTTATATATATCAGATTTTTTAATAATCGTGTATTCTTCATTACTTAACAATCAGTCCAAATATATAGGTATTTTACTTATATTTATTAGCTAATTAATTACTAAATTGTTCTATAATATATATACTATATAATATACAATACTATTGCTTATTATTAATTAATTTAAAAAATTGTTTTTTGTCATGTAGTTAATATTAACAATTATTAGGAACATTGTTGTTGTTTCTAACAAGGAAAATATGGTAATATTTTTTTGTTAACAAAAGGCAAGTCTGTATTTTTAATTTTTTTTTGTATATAAATTGTACTAGTTTAACCATTTAACTGGTTGAAATATTGTGAATAATTATAGGAGAATACTTTTGGCAATAATATATATTTAGCAATTTGTTTCAAGCCTCAAAAAAATTTGTAATAGGTTTCTATTATAAAAAAGACTAGATAATAGATTAATAGACCTCGGGATTTTGGCAAATTTGGAATTTTTATGCAATTTTTGGTCTGTTCCCGTTCTACTGGAATCTACTAGTTTTACTATTATTTTCGATATCATAAAGGAAAATTTTTTTCAATGTCAAATAATGACATTTTTAATACAATTTAATTTCAAATTGCAATAGTTTTTTTTTAATATTGAAAATATACCTTTATCGTGTTTATAAAAATATTTTAATTTAAAAAAATTGCAAAATCCTAGGTCTATATATTAAATACTTCTTGGCATCTTCTTTTTATGTGGAATATTAATTCGATAACGAAAATTTATCGAAAATGTTATTATATAATTTGTATGTCTGTTCCAGAACCTGCAAGAATCTACTAATTTTTAAAATTTTTTAATCAAAAAAATTTATTGTAGTCAATTTTTTACTTTTTGTAGGTTCTGAAACAAATATTTTTATATATTTTGTTTAAATTGAGACATTTCTTAGTGAGCTTTTGTTGTAATAGTATTATTAACCTGAGGTGATATACATATATTTGAGGCATTTGCAATAACAATATCACCAATAGTTTGTATTATTTGTTTATTTAACATGGGGCTATTTACTTTGTCATTTGTTGTTGTTTCAAAATTCTGCAAATTCTCCAGATTTGGTAGGGATTTTTTCCTTTTTCCATCGTACAACGAATTCAACATATTCCAATAGGCTTGATTGCTGGCACAGGAACCACCATACGAATGGGATTTTTCTTTGGGTTTCTTGGCAGATGTTGTTGTTGCTGGGGTGGCTGATGAATTTCTGTTCGTTTCAAAATTCCTATGAAGATATTGTTTGTCATCATCATCATTTTCAGTTTTATGGTTTTTGCTAACGCCATCACTGCTGCTACAACAACAGCTGATGTGACTTTTGGTATTACTGCTACTATTGCTGCCGCTGTTGTTGCTGTTGCCACAGCAATTGTTGAGTGTTGTTTTATTTTTAGCAAATTTCATTGATTTAACTATTTTCAAGGTACCATTACAACCGATGTAATTAACATATTGCTGTGACGACTCAATACCCAGCCGTATACGACCATCATTTCCGGTATATTTCAAATGGCCATGATTGGTTTGGATTTTCAGGCGGGTATTATTGCCAATAACAATTAAATTACCCATATTCTGGGATATTTTAATGCGATTATTATTGCCAACAATGCGTAAATTACACGAATTTATATCCATATGTATTTCCTTGCAATTGCCAACAATATCTTTGTAGGCAGCAGCATCATGATCACAGTTGTGGTGGTGTTGTGTTTGTTCTTGTTCATTTGAGGTAGGGCAGGTACAACTGCAACAGCTGGATTCAGCACTGCAATCAGTCATGTTGTCATTATTGTCATAGACACGTATTCCCATTTTTGGTTATTTTTTATTTCAGCTTTTTTATTCTGTTTATTATTGCATTTATTTTTTCTAATAAATACTTCTTCTTGTTCTTTTGTACTTTTTTCAATGAATGCGTAACGTTTTCTTTTGTTTATTTGCTTAGTTTTTCATTAGCTGGCCATGTAGCCACTCACACACACACAGATAGAGAGAAAGAGAGAGGTAGACCATTCACTCTCATTCCATTAAACAATTTAGTTACTGGTCTGGTTTTGTTTATTTATGATTTGTATTGCTTCTTGTTTTTTTCATTCAAAAGGGGATTCACTTTCCGTCAATTATATCTCTTTGTATTGTTGTTCTTGTGTTTTCTTTAATATTACCGAAATTGCACGATCTCTCTAACGATCATTCTCGTTTGTATTTAGTTTATTTATTTTTTTTATTCCGTAACGTTCCGTTGAGTTGTTATTCAGTCCTGAGTTGATATAGTAATGAATTGTTTTCTCATAACGACTTTTGCTTTATAGCAAACACAGAAAGACACTGTTGTTAGCCGCCTCCAAAAACAAAACAACAAAGACAGCGACAAAAACAACAGCAACGAAAAAAAGAACAGCAGCAGCAGCGAAATCATTTGGAGTATTTTTACGGGATTTTTTTTTTTTTTGTTGGTTGAGACAGCAACAACACTTTCGTTTATTTGTTGTTGTTGCTGGTGTGTAGTACTGCCGTTTTATTTGATTGTTTGTTTATTTTATATACGTTATAGTTTTGCAAATTTGCTTGTTGTTGTTCTTTTTGTCATTGCTTATGATGCATTAATTCAAATCATGTTTCTTTTTGTCTACTCTTATCAAAAGAGCACATACAACACACGTGAGAAAAGCACTACGAGAGCAAATAAGGTAATACCGTTATTTGTGTATGCAATTAATATGTCAGCCAGCTAACATGACATATGAGATTAATCAAAAGAGGTAAATGAGCATTGCTTAATGACAAGGAAGGAAGAAGCATGGGAATTATTATTGTGATCTCAATTAAAATGGAATTAAGGTCAAATAAATTATTGTGTAGGTTATTTAAAGTTCAAAACTTGTAGAATAAAATATATATTTTATGAATAGAAAAATTTTTAAATATTAATCCCTTTGATATATAGCAAATCTTTTTTATTTATGCTACTTTTACCCCGAATATATTTTGTGATAACTGATCTTATAAACGTCGTTTGAGTTGTCATTTCCTTTGTCAAACGAATTTCCGTAATTCATTTTCGGTGTAAAAATGTACATTTAGGGCGTATTTACATAGGAAGGTCTTTAAGCGACTTTTATTAATAAAGTTAACCGGTTAGGCCAGCAAAAGTCTTCATTGACTGTAAAAATTTAAACAAATAAATGTTAGGCCACGTTTAGACTCGATCTCAAATGCCAATTCTATTGCGTATACGTCACGTTAGTCCTGTGGATTATATTAGGAATTAACATTTGAGATCGAGTGGATTCCGTAAATCTAAACGTACCTTTAAAAAGGTCAACCGGTAAAGTTAGCAGAAATCTTCATTGAAAATTTAGACAAATAAACAAAAAATATTGTTATTCGAACTAAATTGTACGTTCACATTACTATCATTAAACGACATTTACATTAGATCTTTTTGTGGTTTTATTTGACAAATAGGCAATGACAATTGAAACTTACAACGTAAACGTAATAATACATTAGGTAAGGTTTGGGGATGTGCAGTCCCTTATGTGGCTGCAGCACTCTGAGACCGTTAGGTCCGTTGTGATCATCCACGAGAAGAAAAGATATAAGGACAGATCTATAGGGGAGAGAAGATTGGGGAAATAACGAGATATGATATGAGATATGAGAAGCTTACAGAAAGATATAAAAAGGTAAGAATGGAATAAAGTCGATGGCTATAGGATCAGACAGAAGATATATTACGTGTCAATGTTGCACTTTCCCAACCACTTTAGGGTTCTAATTATGCTGTCGATTAGAGCAGGTTCAGTTATTGAGAAGAAATTAAGACTCGATAGAAAATGAGCACCCACTAGTCTGTGTTGCCTTTAAGCCAGGGCTGGACAGTGACACAGAAGATGCTCAATAGCCTCCGTCTCCTCCTCGTCAACGCAGAGTCTACAGTAATCAATTGCATCAAGATCCCATTTACGAGTAAAAGCCCTGATATTGCAGTGACCAGTAATGATTCCCGTCATTACTCTTATTTCAGCTTTGCTCAGGTTCAACAGTGAGTGCGTTCTTTTGGTAGACAGAGTCGGCCAAATGGATCTTGACACGTTGCACCTAGGTTCGTTGTGCCAAAGTTCATAGGCTCTTTCGTCGAAGAACGCCTCAAAGTTCCGGTAAAGATGATATATGAGTGGTTTAATTGTGTCATCAATTGCTAGATCTGTGGATTGAGATCCTCGTCTAGCTAGTTCGTCCGCTCTTTCATTACCCAAGATGTCACAATATCCTGGTACCCAACACAACCGAAAGCTGTAAGTAAGTTCTTCCAAAGCTGCCCTACACTTGAGGACGGCCTCAGATTTGATATAACAAGATTTGATGGCTTTAAGAGCCGCTTGACTATCCACGAAGATAGTCACCGGTTCAACGACCTCTGCATCCAGACTTTTTATCAATTCCGCTGCCTTCCAAATCGCGAAGATTTCAGCTTGGAAAACACTACAGTTGCAATCCAGCTTGTAGGTTAACTCAAGTCATAGCCTTTCACAGTAGACGTCCGCCCCTGTACCTACTCCCATCTTGGATCGGTCTGTATACAAGGCCAGACCGTCCAGAGAAGGATTACTTCGGTTCCAGTCGTCTCTACTTGGAATAATAGTCGCTTAGATGTGATATATAGTCGCTTAGATGTACGCGTTGGTCCAATTTCATACCTGCCTCGTTCAAGATACGGCCTCGCCCAAAGGTACAACTTTGCCATAAGTTTCGTGCAGCCTTAGGGCGCTACGCGCGGCCTGACACTTAATGCTGAGGCTCAGGGGCCTAAAATTCAGCATTGCGTTCAGGGCTGTTTGTGGCGTACTCCTCCTGGATTCTGTAACTAAAATCGTGGCGGTTCTTTGTACCTTATCTAATTTACTGGATGTCGACTTGTGACGCAGACAGTTCCACCACACAAGAGAACCATAGGATAGAATGGGCCTTACCACAGTGTTATATAACCGGTATATAGTTGATGGTTTTAGCCCCCAGCTTTTCCCAATGGAGTTCTTGCATGCATAGAGTGCAATCATACCTCTCTTCGCTCGTTCCTCAGCATTCCTATTCCATCGTAGTTGACAGTCCAGGATTGTACCAAGGTACTTTGCTTCAGGAGATGTTCAGATGTTGTCACATTTAAAAATATATTTGCAACAAAAAATTTCGATCAAACTGTCAGAGAACATAAATTTATTTGCTAGAGAATATTGAAAGAACTTTGGGCCAACTTCGATTATTTTCTTTATTCTTGTTTTGTATTTTATGAATTATTTTCCGGGTATTGTCGATTTTCTGTTTGAAAGAAAACTTAAATGGTAAACTGTGGTCAATTTTGGGGAAATGTGGCTAGAACTCTATAAATATCGTACATCAGAAAACAAAAATTTTTAACGATATAAAAGCCGGAACAATGTACAAATCAGCTATTATTTTTCTATGTTCGCTCCTAAAAAAATATTGTAAGGGCAAAGAAATTCTTGCCCGAAACACCTTTTTGGGCACATTGCTCCCATTTTTGCTTGCTGTCAAATAATTTCTTTGTTTTACCAAAATCAGCTGTTTTTGTATTTGCCAATGAAAATATTTTGTGGTTAGATTATGACAAAGAATTATTTGACACTTTTCTCAAATATTTGCCTAATGTGACCATACCTTGAGGCATGAATTCGCCACCCGGTAGAGCTTATTTATATGCTATATGTTTAATGATAAATTATTGGTCTGTTCCGGTACTACAAGGATGTAAAACAAAAAATATTACAAATTGCGAGCTTCTACATTTGAAAATGTTTAATAATGATCTATGTGTAAACTCATTCTTGACATACTGTATAATTTTGTGATAAATTATCATTTAAATGTCATTTAAGCTGTAATTACCTTTGTTCAATAAAATCGAAATTTTTCTAAAATATATTCGGTGTAAAATTGTGACCTTAGAGCACGTTTAGACTACTAAATCCACTTGATCTCAAATGTCAATTCGGCAGCGTATACGTCACCTCAATCATGTTCACAAATCCAGTGGATTATATTTGACGTATATGCTATGTAATTGACATTTGAGATCGAGTGGGTTTTGTAAATCTAAACGCAGCATTATGGCGTATCTACACTGAAATTGATCAATTGTAAATCATCAGTTAAGTTATCACAATTTCGGTCAATTGTCCAAATTTCTTTGACAACTTGACAATTAATATTTTCATAATTCTAATAGGTGTTGCTCTCCATTATATCAAAAATGCAAAAAACATAAGTTCTTTTAGCTAAGTATTATTCATAATAATTTAAAAACAAAATTAAATTTTCCACACCCTCTATATGTAATTTCTTTTTTAACACCTGATGAAAAAAAATCACCACAATCGTTTATCATAATACCTCGTTATCAACAAAAAAAAAATCTACTCTAAATTTTATTGATAACAAAAAAATAATTCCCATAGAAAAATTTTGTTGTTGTTGTTTTCAACGACCTTCTAAAGGTCTTTATATCGAAACAAGTGACAAGTGTTGACGGATCCACACTTATTTGTATTATTTATTGTATTCAATTGAAATGTCATAAAACAGCGTAACTACTCATACATACTCAGCAATGCATATCGCCGGGCAGAAGAGTACATTCCCCTCTTTAAACAAATCTGCAATAACAACAACAAAAATCCAATCAAATAAAATTATTAATTTATCGTTAACAGTTGACAAAAAAATACAACAAAGTTCTTGTACTTTCCTTTTAGAACCTTATCAATTTTTTTAAAAGGTGATTTTTTCGG